TAGTATGTACACACAACCGGCCGCCTCTAATTATGAGTATATTGGCGAACTATTTACATTCTACAAGCCAATTAAAACACATAATTTATTTAATTAGATTGTGATGATTCAACCATTTGTTTATTTTGTATTTTTCATATGGATACGTATTTTCATTTTAAAGTTATTTTTTTTTTACCACAGTACATATTTCTTTTTATTGAATAAAAGCAAATGAAAAATTACATAAACAAGATTTAAGACTTTAGGAAGGGTTTTATACATACATATCTATCATTTAGATAACTGTTATGAATGCGGAACAAAATTTTCTTTATTGTACACTTTTCTATTTTAATAATAAAATAAAATTAAGGTTAAAGTATAGCACTCAAATTCATAAAAAATTAAAGAAGACTTTAACTGTTTTATAAATCGAAAATTTGAATGAAAATGTCACTTTATAAAGCTGTTTACACCTATTTTATTTTTTATGAGTAAGGCCATAGGTGTGTAGCTTCACACACTTTTATTTTGCATCTGTTCTACAGCTTATGTTTTGTGAGTCTAGCTTTGGGAAAATATACATGCAACACAGTAACAACCATAAATAGTAGTTAAGATAATAAAAAAAAAAAATTGTTTGTGACATAATAAAGAGTGTGTGTAACTGTTGTTATTGTGTGAATTCTTTGCAATATAAATACTCACGTATATAATTATGTTCTTGTTCTACTAAAAGCTAAATTAAATAATTGTATAGTGATATAAAATATTTATAACTTATCGTCATTTTTTTTTTAACTTTGAAGTTTTCATTCCTTTACAATGGCTGCGTTTCTTTATACATTCCGGATAATCCCATTTCACAGCCGGAATAAACAGAATGCTTTTGAAATATACGTTAACATATCATCAGGAACGTTCTAAAGAATAAGTAAACAAAAAAGTTTATTCCAAACGTTCAGAATGAATAAAGAAATTCAGCCAATAGTTATAAATAGAATGCGTGTGGAAATAATGATTATAGTTGATCAATACTGAAATGAGCATATAATATACACCACATACATACATATGTATGTATGTGTAAGCGATGCCAGGAAAGTCAAAAACGTTTTTGCCGTTATAAAGTATATAGGATATAAAAAATATGAAGGTTAAGAAGGTAAGAAATTAAATAATTTTAGTAACCAAGTCTAAGTTAAAGTAGGCTTTCCACAATTTTATTGCAAAGCTCTTAGGAAAACTTTAATAACATATACATAAATAATAAAAATAATTTATACTGAAAATGCGCAAAATATGCAGGTTAACTAATAGCGGTTTCTTTTCTCGAAGTATTGTTGCATTTATTCTGCCCAGCGCCAGGGCAGTCAAATTTACACGTTCTTTACTCAGCATTTTCACATGCGTATTGCGTACTCTTTCTTTAAAATGTAGCACTCTGATAATGTTGCCATATAAGAAGGCGAACCTTTTTTCGACAAAAGAAAACGCCATAAGAAGGTATCATGTGCATACATGTGTATATTTATTTCCGGCTCGTTATAGACCATTTTAAATGTCCTTTCATTTGTTGCGAGAAGTAGGAGTCCACAATTATTGAAGGTAACATTTTCAATTGAATGCGGAATCCTGTCAAAATGAGGATTGGAGTTGGGGCGTATGTGTTAATTTTTTTGAAACAAAACTCGATTTTTTTTTTTGTGTGAACACCCAAAGCTTACATTTTCCACTTTTCGGGAAATCGAATTGAAAAAGCGCAATCACATTCGAAAATGTATTTCATCTTACCAGTGGCGTGAAAGTGCCACTGTTCCGAAATTCGTGTGAAACAAAAAAATAATAATATTAAATAGAATATCAAAAATGCTTGCAAGTAATTTATTTTGCTCAAATTAAGTATTTACTTATTAATGCATTAGACAATTTTTGGTTAATTTGGACGTATTTACATATATGTATATACATATGTATGCATTACATCCTTTTAATCATGTACATTATGGCAGTTCTGATTTAGCCAGAACTTTAGTTATTCATTTATTATAAAAGATGCATAAAATGCGCATCATAAGTATGATAACAAGAAGTTTTTAAATTTGAATTTGAACAATTTTAACGCCGATTTTGGGTGTGATCTGATTTTAGATAATGTAATTAATTCTGAAGAACATGCATATGAATAGATTCGATGAAAAGAAATCGTATTTGTGTGATAAATATCTTAACAGCGATGCTTAGTACCGAATTTCCGAACCACAAACCCAAATTTATGTTTGAAGGTAAAATTTCATGCAAATCGCAATAGCCAAAAGATTTTTTTCGAACTTTAATGCATGATATGATTTCAGAAGAGCGAAATACATCACACAAGCGGCTTGACATACCAAGCGAAATATCCATTAGCTACAAGCCATTTGTGTTGTGTTGGTTTGACAACCCGCTTGAGGGAATTCGAACAAAATTTTTTGATTTTCTAGATTTCTTTTCCTTTTCTTGTGCTTAATTTTATATGAATTTTTCATTTTTCTTAAGAGCTGGAAACAGCCCTGTACGGCGAAATGGGTAAATTAGGTTTAAAGTATATTTGACAAGCCGCTTGTGTGGTGAATTTCGCTCTTAACCACGCTTTAACTGCAGCACAAGAATGTTGAAATTGATTTTCAATAAAATTTCGGTG